CTCTCTCTCTCTCTCTCTCTCTCCTTCTCTCTCTCCTTCTCTCTCTCCTTCTCTCTCTCTCCTCTGCGAATATAAGAAAATACAAAGAGATTTTCCATTGGTCAGTGTTTGTTAATCGACGTTAAGTTATCAGCGCAAAAGAATCAAATCCAATTCTGCGGTTTGAAAAAACAATTTTTTCTTCCACGTAATCTTGAAATTTGCGCGAACGAATCTTGAAAAGCGCATCGATTGGTCTCATTTTCAAATGGACACGAATTCATCGGTTCTTGTTAAGGGGGAGAGAGAGAGAGAGAGAGAGAGAGAGGATGGTAGTAAAACTCGAAAGAGTCTCTTTCAGAAAAAGAAAACTTGAAGCAATTTCTCGATAAGCGTGCCGATGAAATTCCCCTTTTTAAGTAAGTTAGCCAGATCTTTCTTTAACAAGCTGTCAATCGTTCTCTTTACTTGGATACTTTATTACAGCATCTCACGATCGATTGATGCTGTAACAACTTCGATTAAAATTGTTTGTATATTATGTATATTATGTTTATATATTGTATATTATATTGTATATATATATATATATATATTAGCTTTTAATTTTTAATTGAACGAAGAAATCAAGGGAAGTGGGGATACAAGATGATGAAGCACAACGTGCGATTCTTTCAACCGCATCCGCTCCCATCTTTTCGTCCTTTTTCCAATCTTATGCAATGATACGAAAATCGCAAGATTTCGGTGTTGCAAAAAAGTGTAGGCACTCGTTGCTACGACAACTTACGCCTATCGATGAAGTGGAAATTTCCAAAAAAGCCGGTCGCATTAGTGGAAGAAGATCGCTGGGTGTGAAACTCCAAAATAAGCGTGGACCTCGAGCTGTACAGGACCTGGGGGACGTCCCGTAGATCCCCGCAAAGCACTCCCGACCAGGGGGTGTACTCGGACACGCCGCTCCCCTCCAAATGTAGAAACACTTTTAAAAAGTCACCACCCGCGCAGCTGAAACACAAATCGAACGCAGAGTTAGCAATTAGCAGTTTTCTTCCTATCGAAAATCTATCGTGCTTTCTCGCATCAATCGGGGAAAATATTGCCGCATCTTTTTCCATAAGAAACTCTGTGTGTGTGTATGTGTGTGTGTGTGAGTGAGGATGCTAGAAGAGGAAGATGTGTGATTGACGATTGGCCAAGAAACCGATCCAAGAGACAATCCCTCGAGAGAATTCAAATTTGGAGAAGGGGTAGTCTCCAACGAGGGAAAAAGAAATTATCTATAACTTAGATTTATTTATATAATTATATTAATATTTATATTATATTAATATAATATTTATTTATATAATTATATTTATATATTATATATTTTATATAATTATCGTGGATTTTCATCAAGAAGGAACGGAAGGAAACGTTAGAACTTCCATTTGTTTTAACGCAACGATTTAAACTGAGCTCGTTTAAGAAAAATTGTATAACATCGCGTAAAGTCGTCATCCTCGAGAAACAATTCTCCGCCAACCAATTCTCTTGATATTTTCCATCACAACCGTACGCGATGGAAGTTTAAACGGTGGAAAAGATAAGAAAATAAATGGAAATTCGTTGAACTTGAGAAAGAGAGGAATGTAATATAATTTATATTTATTTATTCTTCGAATTCGTGTATTTTCCCCTCTCAGAGATTTGATCGAATCGAATCTCGATAACGGAGATCCATGCTGTTATAAGGTTTGCCTATACTCGCTGGAATGGCTAATTGACTAATTAGTCTCGGCAGTGAAACGGAACAGGTGTTCCCAAGTCTGACTGTACACAGATTACCGCAGTTCACGTGCTCCGAGGAGTGTTTCCGATCCCGTGACTTAAAGCGAATACAATGCCGAAATTAGCACGGATTATAACAGAGCCGAGCGGCTTAGAGAGAGAGAGAGAGAGAGAGAGAGATATTCACAAAAACAATTTGCCGGCTCGTTAGCGGTTGCTAACACGCGAATCCTGTATCACCGTCCATTAGCCACCAATAGGGAGCGAACTTATCCCGTCTACCGAACTTAAATCCCTCTTAAACTTGGCCCGGCGCGAAAAACAGATAGGCAGAGAGTTTATAATTTGGAATCATCGTCGGTCGGTTGGAAATATTATTTGACTTACGGGGAACTAATTACGGGGGTTAGGAGAGAGGGAATCGGTGTCTGGAATTTAGCCGGAGGCTTCGATGATCTTGTTTACTCAACCTATTCATCAATCCGAACGAATTTCTAATTAACTATCACAGGCAGATCTCTCTCGTGATGATATTCCATTTGTTGCAAACGTACGGTGTATCTTGAAAAGAAAAAGAATATTGATTGAGAATTCTTTTTTTTAAATAGTTTCTTTTTGATAGTAAATTTATCGTACGGTAAGTATCGATCGATGGTAAGGAAGGATATTTGAATAATTATCGACCGCTTTCGATCAATTGAATTTCCATTTCTAAATTTTTTATTCGTTTTTAAAAAGTTAAATCTTGTAATAAAGTAGACAGTGAATTATTCGTAGTTCGTTAATAACGAACGATCTATTAACGCAACAATTTATAACAAGCAATTAAAGTAAAAAATTTAGCAGCACCACCCAACCTACCAGCACCATACCTTTCACGCTTTGCTGCACGTGTCCCATCGTACATATTAAAACGCTCTTTAATTTTATTTCAGCCGTGGTATAATAAACTGCTGTTACATGTAATTCATATCGCGTGAGAAATAACATATGCGATTCATGGAGGGATGCGTTCCGTTTCGCAAAATATTTATGTAAATTAATACGTGGCAAGTATGCTTTATCGTTCTTTTTGTATACCCTCGTATAAAGCTTTATATACGTATGCCCGTGACGTTCAGTACCGAAAGTTCGGCTACAGGTGTCAGAAAATTTAAAAGGTCATTCTTCAACCTCGAATGAAACGAAAATTAGAAATCGAAAAAAAAAAAAAAAAGTTCGAAAAAAATGCGCATTCGTTATCCTTCCTGTGTTATTATTACAAAAGAGATTAAAATAAATTTAACTCTCGATATAACACTCTTTGCATCGTGACAATTGCGCAATTTCAATCGTAACAAAGTCGCGAACGAAATATTTCAACTTTGATATAGATCGAAACCCGGTCTTCTCGAAAAGTTGAAAAAGGTGAAAAATCGTACGATTGAAGTACGAAGTATTCGTCACGATATCTCGAACTATTTTCGAGACACAAAGATTCAAAGTTTCCATAGCGCTTAACGGAATTATGAATGGACCGACAATTGACCTACATTTTTCCCCGGTAAGCGCGTACGTTCTTCTAGGAATTTTGTCTCTAGGAAGTTTGTAATAGGTCGGTGCGAGCGAGAGAGTACGATATATAAAAGGGTACGACAAGGACGGAGGTAGTAAAAATCACACTTCTCTTTACTCGACGATATCTCGGCAACCGAAAGTCGTATCGAGATGATCCAAAAAACGTTTCAAAGGGGAAGACTTTGCGCTTCCAACGATCGCTCGCTTCGAAGTTATAACGTTTCAAAGTTCTTTTTTTTTTTTAATTTTAATTTTCAATCGATCGTTTTACTCGGCTCGAGGAATCGGTTGTTAAATTTTCGAACAGTGGTGGCCGAATATATTCCGCGTGTACATATTCTACGTAAAATACGTATGGCACGAACCGATTAGGTCAATTCCACAGAGAATCGCATCATGCGCAATTAGAAGGTATTTCAATATGCAACAGGCTGTCGATCATTTATCGTAATAAATGTCCATTTTGCTTGACAAGAAGGTACGTATTCTTCGTAATTCGCAACCGAGTGTAATTGAGAAAAATGAATTAAACGTTAAAATGTTAATAAAAAAAAAAAAAAAAAGGATAATTATTTATTATTACATCGAAACGTAAAGTATTAAAAAGCATTACCAAGTCGGGTTTTAATCGATAAATTGCGGTTGAAATTCATGGATTACACGTACGATTTAAATCATACGATTTTACGAAAATCTGACAACTATGCGAGTATTAACTTTCGCATTAAAATGTTATTTGAATGTTGTGCGAGTATTATTTGTGTGCATAATTTAATGTTTTCAATCATGAAACGTACGTGATATTATTACACATAGTATTACAAACAAATGAGTTCCAACTTACTTGTTTACCCGTAATAATTCCACTCTGCTTCCGGGAAATGATATTCGGTAAACAAGAATTCGCGACATTATTATAACATTTAAATTTTGTTACTTTATCGTATATAACCGATACACCGTAATTTATATATTAAATCGTAATTAATATTGCAACCACGTATATATATATATATATACATCGTATATAGGGAAAAATCGGAGAATGAGAAATGAATGGAAATGAAAGCAAAAAAAAAAAAAAAAAAAAANAAAAAAAAAGAAAAAAAGCGAAAAATCGAAAAGAACGATTTTGTCATATCCCCGGCGATTTTCGAGTTCGAATTAAATTCTCGAAGAAAACATTCCGCGCTACGCGCGGTGACGTTGTCAAAAGAACGTCCATGTCCGTTCCGTGGAAAGGCAAAAAGGGAGGCTTTCGTCGTCCCCGATTGTCAACCGTTACATCCACTCCGCTGAATTTACACACAAAGCGATTCCAAAGTCGAAAGATGAAAACGCCTCCCTCCCCCGCCCCTTCACTGCCCCTCCACCGAATCCGAACCGCGACACATCGCTTTGTTATAACGTTACACGCGTCGCTACTCCGCTCTCACTTTCTCTGCCCAACTCGAGAGAAGAGAAAGAAGGATTTCCCGTTATAATTTATTATACGCCGGGACACAAAAGGAATTTCTCACCTCCCGTGTCACCAGCCACGAAACGTTTCCACGCCGATAAATTCTCCCTATCCACCAATTATTGATTACTATCGAGAAAAAAATAAAAGTGAAACGTGAAGTTACTTGAAAATTTTTCTCGAAAGAGAAAGAAAAAATGTCAGGAGCGTCAAAGATAATGAGAGGAGAGAATATATATATATATATATATATATCTACCAATTATTGATTATTATCGAAAAAATAAAAGGGAAATGAATCTTGAAAATTTTTCTCGAAAGAGAAAGAAGAGAGTATACATATATATATATCCACGAATTATTGATTACTATCGAAAAAAAAGTAAAAATAAAACGGGAATCTTGAAAATTTTTCTCAAAAGAGAAAGAAGAGAGTATACATATATATATATATATATATCCACCAATTATTGATTGCTATCGAAAAAAAAGTAACGTGAATCTTGAAAATTTTTCTAGAAAGAGAAAGAAAAGATGTCAGGAGCATAAAGATAATGAGAGGAGAATATATATATATATTTATTAATTATTGATTATTATCGAAACAAAAGTAAAAATGAAACGGGAATCTTGAAAATTTTTCTCAAAAAAGAAAGAAGAGAGTATACATATATATATATATATATTCACCAATTATTGATTGTTATCGAAAAAAAAGTAACGTGAATCTTCAAAATTTTTCTCGAAAGAGAAAGAAAAGATAAAGAAGCACAAAAATAATGAGAGGAGAGTATATATATCAATTATTGATTACTATCGAAAAAAAGTAAAAATAAAACGGGAATCTTGAAAATTTTTCTCAAAAGAGAAAGAAGAGAGTATACATATATATATATCCACCAATTATTGATTACTATCGAAAAAAAAGTAACGTGAATTTCGAAAATTTTTTTCAAAAGGAAAAGAAAAGATATTAGAAGCACAAAGATAATGAGAGGAGAATATATATATATCTATTAATTATTGATTACTATCGAAAAAAAGTAAAAGTGAAACGTGAATCTTGGAAAAATTTTTCTCAAAAGAGAAAGAAAAGATATATATATATATACCACCAATTATTG